TGATTGACAGGTGAACGTTGATATATGATTGGACGAATTTAGGCGTTCAAGCTGACATATAACTAACTGACCTGCATAAAATAACTAAAAATATATATATATATAATAAAAAAAAACACAGATTTTAAGAAAGGATTTTTTTTTTTATATATATAATTCTTTTTTTTAATTGGGACAATATAGTCTGAAAAAGACTACGTTTATATGCATATTTAAATATGACTTTCCTATGACTTTAATAGGTTTGTGTTAACGTGATATTTAAAAATTAAATGATTTGTTATGTAGCCTAATAAAATGATATAAATCTTAAAATGTTGGTGAAATATTTGAGTGAATGTGTAGTGATACAGTTGGAGGCTCACTATAGGAGATGGTGAGCAGCTGGAAAAGACGGAAATAACGTCCTTATCGGGCTTTATTTCCAGGCGTGAGATGTTTGTATTCCAGGTGAGATCAAGGAACTTTTAGTCATCAATTCTATAAACTTCATTGCCTTCCATTTAAAGGGGGGAGTGAGTGATGAGCCTACATTTCCATAAAGCTTTAGTTACTTACATCTTTGAGTTGTTTTCCAGTCCTTCATTATCAAGAGCTGAATCTCCTTACTGTAGGCCAACTTTTCATTATCAGACATCAGACCTGCAACAGAGGTTTCCTCAGGCAAACTGAACCTGGTGCTGCTGGACTGAAGAGGTGGAAAGTTATGGGTGAATATTAAATAGAGAACAGGGCTGAGTTCATACTGCTGGGGTTTCCTGATTTAATGCAGGTTTATTCTGATTTAATCCAGAATCCACCTGCATATTGATCTGTCAGAGCCCAGGTGGCTCACTTTATATTTATATATTTATAATCTGGAATACATTTCGGAAGTGAAACTGGTGTAAAATTGTACTTTTTCCATGAAAAAGCAATTTTTTAAAAACAAATTACTTAAAAAACAAAAACCATGAATTGTAGAAACAAACTGAGGAAAATAAATTGAGCTCTGACGGATCCTTGATGGATATTATAATGTTATGCATGGCCTCCTATTGCAGGGTAAAATAACATTTTCTTACATTTTTATTAAAACATTTTAATTATAATAAAATATATTTATATTATTGTAATAAGTAAACAGTTACAGCAGTGCATGACGATACACCGATTATTAATATCTATTTAATTTGCTAATACTGAATCTGTTTGTTTGGTTGGAGTTTATTCCACTCATATTAGCTAATTCCTTTTAGTTTTTTTTTTTTTTTACTGTTTTTGATTAGGCCTACGTTTATTGTGCATCATTTTGTGTTATTTTTTATGTGGGATGATTATTGTTGTATTTCTTCTTGGTTAAACAATTAGTGAATTAATAAAAGTGCAAACTTTTACAGTGATTGTTGACTTAACTGGAGAAAACTTTTATAATGGCTGTTGATCCTGATTTTGTTCTGACTCATTTTATCTGACATATTGGTATGTTTGTATATTTCAGCCAAAAGATCAAAAAGATGATTTTCTATTGTTATAAATTGCAAACGTAGGCTCTTAAATATTGTTTGCAATGTAGATGAACACCTATTGGAACCATAATGTATGACAGCATTCAGCTGATCTGTTCTAGAATAAAGTTTTCTTTCATTTCAATTTTTTTTTCTTAAAATATTACAAAAACTCTTCAAAATGTCATTCAACCCTCCTAAAGTTAGTTACCTAAAAACATTTCTGGTCTTGTTAGTTTTATTTATTTGTTTGTTCTGCCTGTTGTCTCTACTCCTTTAGGGATCATGTAGGTGGAGGTGAAGAAATTCCCACGGATCCAGCTCTGGAGCGGCCCCAGGGCCAAGCAGGGGTCAGCGGGTTCGCAGCCCACCCGCCCCGGTGTCCTTAAAGACGGGTCGCGTGACCCCGCCCCTCTGACTACTCTCGTCGTAGATGTAAACCATATCCGTTTTCATGTTAAAAGTCAAGTTAGAAGCAGTGAGGCGCTGAAAACCGGAAATACAGCTGTACGCTTTGATGAGATCAAAGAGCCGACCTCCCAGGAATAGCTTTGATCTTGTTAGAGCAAACCAGACAAACAAATAAACACCAATAACGGAAACACTACACATGAGCTCCCAAATCATTCACATTTATTCATTCAATCATTCATTCTTTCATTAACAGCTGTGTTTTAAATGAAAGTGAGGCCACATCTTCTAAAGAATAAAGTGTAATAAACAAAATATAGATCAATTATGGACCAAACTCAAAGTCTGATCATCCCTACGTGCATTCAAATATTGTTATGCTCAAAATACATAGTGTCAAAATGTATGTTTCGTTTGAAAATCTCTTTTTTTTTTTACTTGTGCGTTGATAAAACACTAAAAAATAAAAATATAATCTGTAAGGTACAACTAAAGGTATTCCTATTTTTGAATGATGACTTTCTTTAATATTTTATGGTAAAATGTGAATCAAATAACCAACAACTTTGCTTTAATTGGACCTAAGAGTGTTAGCATGTGTATTTAATCAATTCATCCAATTTTGCCCGTATAGTTATATCTTTGTTATAACATTCATTTGTAAAATTTGAATGGATGATCTGGTGAACTGTGAAGGGCCTTGAGATGACATGTGTTGTGAATTGGTGCCATAGAAATAAATGTAATTGAATTGAAAAAATTTAAGAAAGGGGGATTTTATTATGGAATTAGCCATCTTGCAAACTACGCAAACTACAAGTAGCGTTAAGATCCAGTAAAAACAAAAAAGCATCTGAGACGATCAATGATTTAGCTCTGATGATGATGTCCGGACAGGGGTCAGTAGGGGCTCTAAATGCTCTAAATCAGGGGTCTTTAACGTTTTCCAGGCCAAGGAACCTCAAACTGGTGGTAAAATGGAGCGGGGACCCCCTAACTATATATATGGTATGAAATTGTGTTACAAACTGGTCCTATAGTCAGTCTATGGATGGAGTCATGCGCTGAAAATAATTTCAACCTGGAATTATTAAAGTATTTCTGATTCTGATTCCTCGTGGACCATTTAGGGTTTAAATGGTCCTGTAGAAATAACACTAAATCAGGTTTCAGGTCATATGAACAAAAACTGTAACAGACTGGTCAATTTTAGGTTCAGCCATATTGAAATAGAGTCAAATATACAATCTGCTAAGTCGGGTCTTTCGACTCTCTAGGTTTAGTAAATGATGAGATGATAATGATATATTTATCTTTTAAATAATTCCTGTGATCAAGAAAAAAAACATAATAACCTTTAAACACAAAACCAATTAGTTTTTCCCATTGAGTCCTTAATTCGCTGTCTACTGTTGGAAACAATCAGTTATTTAGGAGTCTGAAATATCCACAGAGAGCTGTTTATCTTTGTGATTTATTGACCTGAAATGGATGCGTACAGAAGAGGATTAGAGCCTCTGAAAAAAAAAGTTAACTGATTTTTAAATATTATTTCAGTTTTATATGGGGAAAAAAATTCAGAATTCTGACTTTAATCTCAGAATTATGACTTTTTTTCCCCTCAGAATTCTGACTGAATTCTGAAAGCTAACAAACATGCAAGCATCAAGCCATGTCTGTTTTAGAGATTAAACTAGCTCTCTTGTTTCAATCACCTTCTGTTCTTCCATTAATGAAATAGAATCACCAGGAAAGCCTCAGGCACCTAAAAAGACGCCTAATTCCATCATTTTCCACCAATGTATTACTACCCCTGCCAAAAAACTAACATCTTTGTCAGTGAA